TACATATCTGGAAGGGATAAAAGAGGTTGAAATTCAGATGCTTTGGACCTGTTGGAAATGGGTAAATCTAACCCAAACAAGCCATGCTCAAAGCAAATTAAAGGTACCCGGAAAAAAAAAAAAAGAGAGAGATTTAAGAGCACACTATCAATTAAAGCTGGTGAAAAACGACGCACAGGCCAATATGCTCACTGCCCCATACCACAAATCCTTCATACAGCTTGTTATTAAGTTACTCCAAAAGGAACAGCTTAATAATAGTTGCTTAATAAGCAAGGTGGGTTTTGTCCATGCTCATTACTAAACATTTTGTCTGGCAGTACTGGGAACATGCTCACCGCAACCACCGTCCAACTGGGAGAAAACACTTTTAGCCACAGTTGAGGTTGAGGACAATAGCTTTTAATCGCTGCATCTCAGGCCAGCAGATCTTTTCAGAGCTTGGAATTCAGTTCAGAAGCAGCTGGGGGGGGGGGGTTGTCCGCCGAGCCAGCCCTCCAGCTCAATTAGCGAACAAATTCCCTTCAGCTAAATCAATCACAGTCTGCTTGCAAGATGGATGCCGAGTGGTTGATGACGCTAGCAAGTCTCCATCCTCCAGTCCCCCGTCTTTCCAATTCTGCTCAGGCGTGCCACGAAGGAAAAGACCCATTTCATCACGGTACCCTTGCTCCCTCTACCCCAAATGGAGCAAATGCAGTCCATTAAAAGAGGGCCTTTCTTCATGGGCTCCATCTTATGAAACCACAATGCTCTGCTCAGTGGAGGTGCACTGCGACAGGGCAATTAGTCAGGGTAACTGCAGAGCGACTGTGGCAGACAACGTGGCTCTAAAAGGCAGACAGATCTCTCCCACCTTGCCCTCGCACAGAAATTGGTTTGCAGAGCACCGAACAGGGATGGCCAGGATGCTCAAAGCCTCTACTACAGACACTCTTGCCACTCGCGTGTTCAGAGACTTGATCCAAAGCCTGTTTAAGGGAGGGAGTCTGATTTCAAGAAGCTTTGGATCAGGCCTCCCCTGGGTTGGAAGTAAGGCTTGGAGCCTGACCTGTAAAACGTGCAGGCTGACTTGGAGAGTGGGAAATAGGAACCAGGTACCACCTCCTTACATTCCCTTTTGCATGCTGCATGCTTAATACAGCATGGCCAATTCCAAAATCATCTGCCACAGAAGAATCCCATCATTTGTCTACCTCCTGAAATGATGCCTACAGCACATTTCATCTGTGCACAGAGCAGGGGAACGGTCATTTAAAACATCTGCAATTGCACGTACTCGTGACGTAGATGGATGCTCCACTTAGAAGCTTTTTGCGACCAGACACCCTGTTACGGCTGTATTTATACAGCCTCTAGTACAATGGCTCCAGCTCATGGCTGTCAATTCAGAATTTAAATTCAGCTCCTTGCCAGAAAACCTGGTGCCCTCCTTATCTCTGCCTGGCAGGAACGCTTGGTTGCAGCCACTTGGCAGCAGGTCTGGCATGGATTCAGCACACCACACAAGCCTGGGAGGGCCGTGTCTCCAGAACTGGTTACCCACTGGTGTTGACATGGGGCTGCAGGGTATTAACCCCTTTCCAGGTAGAAATCAAATCTCTGATGGAAATTAAAGGCTGTTGGGGCAGTGAGAAAAGACCACAGCCAAGGGAAAAAGTTGAAAAAAAAAAAAGATAGGCTCTTATCTTTCAGAGCTATGTAGTGCACTGAGCCGCACGAACTAAACTACCAGTGACTATATTGGGATAGGAGTACTGAAGAGGCGCCTATTATCTGATACAGCATTTTATTTCTGCCCCAATCCACAGGACATTAATGGGATTTCCAAGGTAGTATGAAGCATGCTTCACCTCTGGCTCACAGACTATCCAATAGGCTCTGCAGGAACCTCCGGTTTTAATGAGCAGGCAATTTGAGATTGCTTCCCTTGTCCTGGGACCCTGAGCTATGTGTCCACCACACTCAGAGGGGAGGAATAATGCAGCCTGCGCAGCCCTCCCTCCCCGGAGTGGTGCTGCGGGAATATAAACTTGATGAGCAAAGACACATTGATGGGATGGTAGTTAAAGGTCATGTCAGGGGGCCTGAGGCTGCTTGTTATAGCTAAATGCTTCCTAGTAGGCATTCCAATAGCCAGAGCTTTAAGCTGCGCAGGCTACATTTGCTGCAATTCAATTACAGGCTACAAGGGATGGGATTAGATCCTGCTCTCCCTAACGAGTGCTGACATCCGTGTTTGTAACCTGGCCCTTTTAACACCCCCATCTGCCCAGGGAGCAGCAGCTCCTTCCAGTGTCCTGGACACACCACATCTGCTCAGCCTGTTTCAGCTACCTACCCATGGGGCCAGGACCTGCCCGACTTGTTCCCTAGCAAACTGCTCACACCTCTCTCCATGTATCACCGGGCTCTGCCGGCCTTGTTCCACCCCAGCAGGTGGCCTCATCCGGTCTTTCCTGTTCCGCTCTTTCACCCGATAAACACCTGTCTGAAAGCATTCAGCTGGCCCACAGGAAGAAGGACTTTTGAGCCCTGCCGCCAGACTGCATTGACAGCGATGCTATCGTCAGTCATTCACCGATAATGACTTGGACTCCTCTCTCAGCCTTGACCGGATGAGGCCCATTTTCACTTTCTCATGAGTATGCGACAGGTAATCCATCTGCTCCTCAGCTATTTCCCCCTTGCACATTTAACCAGCCTGCTCCTTCTCTTGTTTGCGGTTAAAAAAAGGCCTTCTGTCCTTTGGTGACTCCCCAGCTGAAGATCACTTAGGAGCATGGCAGAAAACCCATCACTCGAGTCGTTTAAACCTGGGGTGACTAACACAGAGAACGAGTTAAACCACCGAATAACACAGAACATTTCATATACAGCAGGGGAAGGAAGGCCAAATTTGGCCACTAGTTAAAACAGGCCTTTTCATCACTAGACCCCAGCAGTCTTTCCTGCCCACGTGCAAGGGGGCTGGACCCGATGATCTTGTAAGGTCCCTTCCAGCCCCTAATATCTATGAAATGATGACATTTCTATGTAACAGCAAGGTCGTTAGGGCTCGTTCCCTTTCCTGACACTGCTTAGAGTCGTGTTTCTTTACGCTAAGGTTGTGGCATTTTCCCTTCGGAGGGAATTCAGTTCTAGCTCCGGACATGAGGATCCCGTTTCTAGGCTGTAAGCAGCAGCGACACAATGCTCTTCAAAAAGCACAGAGCAAACCTGCACCAAATATCAGTTACATCCCAAAACACTTCACTGAGTGCAATCCTATTCCAGAGAAAAGCGGTAGCAGATGGCAAGAGAAATTAAAGCAGCAAAGAAGACTAGATGTGTTTTCAGATAACATTTGATTTGAGACATCAAACAGAGCATGGAGCCGAGAGGCTCTTCCAGAACTGCAGAAAGATAGAAATCATACACCAGCAGCAGCCAGATCCTGAGGCGTGAACCCCACGGCTGGACTAAGGGAAGGACGGAGTCCGAGAGAAGTGCCAGGAAAGGAGGCAGCACAAGTTCCTCCCGAGGCTGTTCCATTAACATGAAGGGACCACCGGTGGGATGGCAGTCTAGCACCACCGACTATTTTTTGCCATTTATGCAGCACCTGGCACTTTAGTTTCTTATGTAGGTTAGATAAAAATATCAGGCAACAGAGACAGGCTGGCAGGTGAGAACGTGAGATGGGGAAACAGAGGGAGGCGGACATAGCACAGCGTTACAAAACCACTTTTCTTCCCCCAGCATCCGTCTCATCCTATAAAGAGAAAAACACATTTGGGAGGAGTTCGCGGATGGAGGGAGGCCGTAAGGTGCAATGAGGTGAGTCGCCCCAAGCACCAGGTCACAAGAGGGCAAGATAAACAGGAGGAGACAAAGGTTGTTTGTGCAACGAGGAAAAATTGGCAGCGGTGTCTACATCTTCAAACGTGTCCGTACCAGACAGGTGAGCACAGAGTTTGTTTTGTTTGGGAATTTAAAAAAACCCAGTGTTAATGGGGCCAAGAATATATCAAAAAAAAGACTGTAACTTCTGAAGGACCAAGGGGCCCCTGGGAACACAAGGCGATAGGGCAGAGATGGTCCTAACCGGACAGGGAGCTCTTTTCCATCAGGCAGTTCAAATCAGGCATTCAGACACCGCTGCAGGCTTTAAAACAGCATTTCTGAAGCTCATTATTTCCTCAGACAGATCCTGAGCAGCGGCACCTAGAGAACCACACGTACAGACTGAAAGGGGCACGAAGTTAAACAAGGCGGGGGGGAAGCCACGCTATTCCCATCCGAGGCGTGCGCAGCTTTTGGTTTTACCCAGAGGAAGCTTGCTGCCCTCAACATCCACAAAAGCACGCCTGAGCAGCACCGGGACCGCACCGTGTGCCCCCCCTTTCCCGCACCGGGTTATTCTCGCAGCAAGGGGCGCTCAGCAGCTTTCTGCCCGCCAGCACGTGCTGCTTTCTTGGAGCTACTCTGCTCCAGGACTCCCACAAAGTGACAAGAGCATGAGGACAGGCGCCGAGCGGGGCGGACCACAGGCCCATCTCACCCCGTGGTCTGCATCGCGCAGGGCAGAGTGCGGGGGCCTTTCCCCCTCTTCCGCTCCCCCCCTGCAGCCTGGGCCATGCAAGACCGAGGCAGCTCCGATTCAGAGGCTGCCCCCCTGCTCCCAACAACTCAATGCCTGCGAAGGGTCAGGCTTTCTGGCCCTTTGGGAGCTGCGAGTGTGGGAGTGAGGGGGGAAGCCTTCACCATCCCTGGCACAGGGAGAAGGGGTCGCTCCCCCGATCCTGCACTTGACCACGACGCAAACGGGCACCTTCGCCGCGCGGGCAAAGCCCGCACCCCAGGGGCTGGGATGCAAGGACCTGGACGGTGCGGCCAAGTCAAGAAAGGACAAAGCACGGCCAGGGCAGGGGGGGGAGCAGCCCCCAGCCCCGTGCAATGCCCAGCCCAGCAGCCCCCAGCCCAGCACTCCCAGCCCGTCCCAGCGCAGCCGTACTCACGCGCTCCGCCACCGCCCGCACCCCGGGCTCAGAACGTCCCAGCAGCCGGGAGTGAGGAGGAGGGGAGGGGGCGGGAACTCCCCCGGCCGCCCTCAGCCAATCAGCAGGGGCGGCTGCGTAATGGACAGCCGCGAGAAGGCGCAGGCCTGTCTGAAGGGAGGAAGGGGCGGGGCGTCCCCGGCAGCACAGCCAATCGGAAAGGCGGGGAGAGTGGCAGGGCTGGGCCGCGCCGACTTAAAGGCCCAGACGCTTCTAAAATACAGCTCCCCTCACCCCGCTTTCGCTCCCCCGCCCCCACACACACAGCCCTGTCCAAGCAGCCCCCCCGGCTGCCCCCGCACCCCCTTAGCAGGGCGGGGTGTTGCGTCGCGTCACGTTGTCTGCCCCCCGCACGCCAGTGTCTCTGCTACGCTAGGGCACGGCCATGCCCATGCTGGTGACAAAGCTGGCAATGGGCGAGGCAGTTCGTGGCACTGCACGAGCGAATCGTGCTGCGCCTGGGACGGGTGGCAACGGTCTCGGCCACCGCCAAGGAGTGCGGAGAAGACAAAGGGACCCGCTGAGGCCCTGGAGAGCCGCGGCGTGTCACCGGGCCCGTCTCACCAGCCGGGTGCCCACCCGGCCAGCCGCGGGGCTGTCTCTGCTCCGTCCTCCCTGCGCGTCTCTGGGCAGAGTCGCACTCGGTGGCTCCTCGGCTGGGCCCCTGCTTTGATCCCAGCCCATGACCCTCGCGCCCACCCCCGTCTTCTCTTCTGTTGTCCCAAGAGCTCGGCTGTCAACGCTCCCAGCAGCCTTCCTGACAGAGGGAGGCTTCTCGTTTGCTTGGCGGGCCTGGCATCTACGCTCGCCAACTCTGAATCTATTCCAGGGGCTTTCCAGGATGCCCCTGTGCCTGCGACGTGCAGCGCGGATGTGCCCGCCGGCTTGCGTACACCAGTTATGGATTACGGCGTGAAGACTTGATGTCAGGAAGGCTAAAGCACATTACGATGATGTTTTCAAAACGCACTGGGCTACAGTATAGATCAAATTCAACATTTAATAATATTTGTTCGAATGAAAGCCCTATCCTTGATCTCCCGGGTGACTCTAAGCGGTCTCCTCGAGAGTTGTATCTAATTCCCGGAGGCTCCAGGGTGATCCTGGAGGGTTGGCAACCCTATTGGCATAACAGGTAGGCCAGCTGGACGCAGCAAATGCACAGCACAAATTCACATTGATGAAACCCTCAGCAAAAGTCAGTGCTGGTTTCTTAGCTGGCCAGCATCTGTGCTGAGATATCTTGGCTGCTTTAGTGTACAGGTAATGTCATTTTAAACAAAGTGTGAAACATCTGCTTTAAGAACATATCCTGAGCTCTGATACGGCGCTCAGGAGACCTAGGCTGTGCCAAGGGCTACAGGGTGACTTTGATCAACTCACTTCATCAATTTGTGTACATTTTGGGGGAGAGCAACATCACCTCTTCTCAGAAGTGCTTGGGGGTCTGTGGAGGAAAAGCAGTTAGACTGGGTAAGAGCTAGGTATTAAGTTATTAATAGTTGTAGTAGGTGCGAGAGGCAGGGATTTCTGTGGGTGATATATTTTATTGGACCAACGACAGGGTTAGAGGCAGGGAGATTATAGTAAGTCTATGAAGCCAATAACACATGTAGGAGAGTACTTCTCACACTTTTTGACCTCACTATCCTTGTACTCAAGGGAAATATAAAAACGCCTTTAAAGGATGAGCCTGGGAACAAAAACTCATAAATTGGCTAGAATCTATGGACCAAGGACTGCACACCAATATTGGCTTCATAGCATACTACCTGACTCCTGCTAATCTTTCTTCACAAGTGATAACCACCCTCTTCCCTTTTGAAAGGTCTTGGTCTCTCAGGAATCAAGCTATCTTTTCTTCTGTGATTTGCTTGTCTGCTCCCCCAGGGAATTTCTCTCTCCTCTGATTTCACAACCCTACAGACAGTTGCAACCTTTACTGTGCTTGCTTTTTCCTCAGACCTGAAGAAGAATGCACTGCATTTGCAAACTTTGTTCAAGTCTACCCCGACCGTGCAGTTGGTCCTATATGAATTATCACCCACAAAATCCTTGCCTCTCACCTAGGTTCGGGACCATCACAGCTATAACCTCACTTCAACGTTATTGATTGCAGTAGATGTGATTTTTGGCTTAGAGTCTTCAAACAACGAAGATTGTAATTTGCCTAAAAATCCACAATGTTTCTTTTGGAAAAAAATCAATATGCTCAGGCCAATTCTATTCAAACCGCATCTCATCTCGAAGAATGGACTCAGGGCTGAGGGACGAGTCTTTCTAGCTTCCCCGATCGCCTCCTTCACTTATGCCCTTTTGCGTATGCTGTTGCTCAGTAAGCAGCTCACACCAAGGTGCCAAATTGAAGTGCAAAATTAGGAGCCTTATTGACCACATGCAGTTGGCCAAATGGAAATGTCCTGTCTAGGCCTTATGCAAATCAAAATAAAAGCTAGGAGAAGTTGGGATGTGTTTTTATATAGAGCAGGAGAATAATTCATTTGAAACGCTGTGCATTATACAAAGCTTTTGATCAACATTGCACCCTTTTTCCCCATAATTCGTATTGAAATGAGATGTTGCAGCATCTTCTACATATACTAGGGCTGGGTTATTTAAAAGCAGTCCTCAAACCATTCTTTCCAATCCAGAAAAAAAAATCTATGACTTCTTTCTGCCTTTGTTTCTCCCTCTGCTTGTGCCTTTGTATTATAGACTCCCAGGAAGTGCTGCTTGGGGAGCCAGTTCTACAGAGCATGAGGAGCGGAGGAGACCAAAAGTGGCTGATACGGGGTTTTTTGAGCAGAAATCTACATGGAAAAATATGGGTCCTCGTTCTCCAGCTCAGAGCAAGGTATACCTAGGGTTGGCTGGGCCGGAACGCAGTCATTAGTAACCATGGTGTGTCTGAGAGGCAAGGATGTTAAAAACGTGTTAAACTCTTGTTTCTTGGATCTGAGCAGACTATACCAGACAAGTGGAGATTAATACTTTGAATGATGCAATCCCAGGTCAGCTGCCTCTGTGCTCCAGTGGATGCAATACCCTGGTACTTTATTTAATAAGCTGCTGAAGACAGCAGGCGGGATATCTGAGAAAGGCGGCTGCTGTGGTCCCCAGAAAGCATCTGTTAAACAATGGCAATGTTTAAAGACAAAATTGATTTTTTCCCCCTTTACTGTTGATTCCTATCCAGCTGCTCCACACAATAAAAGACCCATCAAGGAGCGTAATGCCGTAATTGTTAATGGAGAGAGCAGTTTCAAACTGCTTCCACTCAGGCAAAGTCCTTATCTCAGTAAGCTGTGCAGAACTCAGCTTGTCTTTCATCCCTTTGTACTTGAGAGGGGGAAGGGGAGAGCAAATTTATGGCAGCTGCCACTCACAGGGGCCCACGGAGGGGAAGAAGCTTCATTGCTCACAAGGAATTGCCCATCTTCAGTTTTGCTCCAAGCAGCATTTTCTTTTTCTTTTTTTGCAAATTTGATGCTTGAAAGATGCTTCCATTCCTCGTCAAACACAGCATGTCTCATGCTAAGCTTGTTCACGCCAGCTTTGTCCCAGTGTCATTTTTTGATCTCCATAGGGTCAGCAGTGGAATCAAGGGCAGGATCAGATCCCTGGAGTGGAATTCCAGCAGAGTGGCTTTGTCACGTCCCACTCACCCGCTGACCTGGAGGGGCAGTCGTGTTTTATGGCAGGTGATCATCAGTGTTCTCATCATGCTGACGGGCAGGTGAGTGCATTTTCTGCCTGAGCTGACCAGTGCCCTTGTAACAGTTTAGTTGTAACTTGCATTCTCCCTCCCTTAGTGCTGCTGTCTGTCATCTTTGTTCATCCCTTCACTTTTGACAGAGAGCCCACTGGAGCGTGGCCTATTTCCTGTTTGGTCCATTAGGAAGCACTTAAAACAAATCTGGATGCTAAAAATAATCATTATGAGGCCAAAATGCAGGGCCCTCAGAGGCTGGGGTTAGGATAATGGCTCTTACTTGTACCTTAAAGCATCCTAGTTGTATACAGTCACATAGTGTGGTCATATGCTAACGGACTAGAAGCTCTGAAACTGGTAGATGTCTTATTGCAACAGGGCAGAACTTCACTGAGAGTGCCATAACAATGTGGAGAGCATGAGTACTACATGCAGCAGGCCTAGATAGCATGGTGATGGGCACACTGGATGTATGCAGACTGGTATTTTTTTTTTAAGAATTTTTTTTTTGTCCCAAGTCAAATCAGCCAAATCAGTTCCAAAACCGTGTGAGTCATTCAAAAACCACATGTGGCCCTGCTACTGGCAAGCATCCTCCACTCCTGGCTGGGGTTTCAGATACTTCCAAATCCTTTGGCAGTGTCCTATGTGCAGGCCCAAGCCTGGAGGCTTGGGATTCGGATGCCCCCAAGTTTCACTTGCCCCCAGCCATATGGCCACAGGACCCACCTAGGGAGGAGTCTCCCATTTCCATAAAGTCAGCATCTAGCCAACATCTTTGCATTGGAAGTGAAAGTGGGAGGCTAACTATGCCTTACCTTGGTCGGGGTACTACGCCCTGCCACATTTGTGGTTTTCCCACCAGTTGGAAAACCACCTTGGTGGTCATGGCTATTCCTTTGCCAGATAAGTATGAAGAAATATGTAGAAATATACAGACAGTTAGATAAACTGACAGCAAGGGAGTTGCATGAGGGTGTCTGACATCAGTGGAAGCAGTGTGGGACTGAATCGCAACAAAGGAGATAAGGGGAAGAGGAAGGAAGCAGGTGGCAAATGATCAACCTCTTTCCCTGTAAAAGGAGATAAGGGTTGAAGCTGAGAAGCTCTCCTTCCCTTAGGGAGAAGACCTGACCCATCTGTTGATGGCCTCAAACATACCAGGGATTTACATCCCCAATTATACAACAGTTCAAAATGTCCTTGCAGCTCCATGATTCTCCAGGATTATGGAAACTGGTCCCACTGTCTGGTTCCTAGCTAGATCCTAACTTTCCCCAAGTTGGGGTTTAAGAGCTTAGTCCTAGCTTGTATCCCATGTGCACTAGCTGTTTTGAGCCATCTAAATAGATTTGCAGA